ATAACAGCCCGTGCAGCCCACGCAAGCCTCAATCAGAACAAATCAGGCCATCCTTGGCCAAACCCTCACCTCCACTTACCCTGCATCTCAGAGCCCTGCCTTTAAAGATTTTTTTTTTAATTAAAAAGTTCTTTATGGCCTAAATTCAATCAATACAGGAGCAGAGAAAGTAAAAATTAGAAAGTCCCTGTACTCGCCCCACTATAGGTGTATATTCTTCTAGAGTCTTTTTTTTGTTTTTTTCTTTTCTCCAGAGCTTAGATAAACAAGCACACTTTCTAAAAACTGAGGCATAATTTACAGGCAATAAAATGCACAATCCCTAAATGCGGAGCTCGATTAATCTTACCTGTGCACACACTCGTGGGATCACCACCCAGGTCAATAGAGAAGTCATTTCCATCCCTTACCCACAGAAAGTTTCCTGTGCCCCTTCCCCATTCATGCAGACCCTTCCCCAGAGGAAACCACTGTTCTGACGTCCACAGAAGTTGTTCTTCAACTTCTTGTGAGTTAAACAATACAGTGTGTACTCTTCTGTGTCTGACTTCTTTCGCCTGATAAATGTTTTTAAGATTCATCCACTTCATTGTGTGCATTAGTAGTTCATTATTTTTTTATTGTTGTGTTGAACGCATTATCTGACCCATTGTCTGAATATATTAGAACTTATTTTCCATTCTCCTGTTGTATCCGGTTTGGGTATATAATGAATAAAGCTACTATAAATATTCATGTACAAGTCATTTTGTCAATATATATAACTGATTTCTGATGGGCATTTAGGTTGTTACCAATTATTTGCTTATACAATTAATTTTAAAAATAATAAACACCCTCATACATGTGGCGTTACATCCATCATTTACTTTTCCAAGATAAATGATTAGAAATGGAAAGCTGCATCAAGAAGCATGCTCATTTAAAAATTTCACTGTTATTGCCAAATTGTCCTCCCACATTAAAGAACTTCTCACACTGTGGCAGAGAGCTGGGCTCCTCATCCTCTTGCCAACGTGGGACATTACCCCTCCTGTTAGTTTTTGCAAAATGATGGCATCTTGTTTAGCTTCAGTATCCATTTCTTTGATCTGAGGTGAGGTTGAGAGTCTTTCCTGGGTCAAATTGTGATGTGTTTGAAATGACAAGGAGATTAAAGCCCAAAAGAGAAGAAAGGAAAAGTAAAGCCCTTTGGGGAATGAAACACTCACCTCTGGGGACAAAGCTCCCACTGCCAGCTGCTCCTCTGGCTCTAAGGGACTGCTTGAGAGGCTGGAGCAGGGGTGGGGAGAGAGGGGCAGCCTGCCTGGAATTCGGGGCCAGGGAGCAGGATGGGACTCACCCCAGTGCAAACATGCAGACGTGCAGCACGTCCTCCCCGAGGAAGTCCAGGTAGAAGGTGGCGCCTGAGCAGCAAAGAATGGAAAATGCGGGTGAGCTGTTTTCAAATCACCTACCTGCCAGTCTGTTTAGGATCTGGCGAAGCTCCCTTCCCTACAGAATACCAAAGGGGTCCAAAATACTATGACTGCACCTAGTAAGAAATTAGCAGAATGGAATAAAAGCCATTTGGGGGGAATAGACTGTCTTCTCTTTCTCCCCCACCTAGGCCCCTCTTACCTCCATCTTTTTTTTTTCTTAACTTTTAATTTTGAGATAATATTAGATGCACAGAAATAGTATGGAATTCCCACATACCCTTTGCCCAGCTTCCCCCAGTGAAACGACACTGTGAGTTAAACTAGAGACTTACCAGTTTTTACACACTCGTCTCCCTCATCTTTCTTTCTTTCTTTTTCTTTTTTGTTAAGTTTTTATAGGAGTATAGTTGATTTACAATGTTGTGTTAGTTTCAGGTGTACAGCAAAGTGAATCAGTTATACATATACATGAATCCACTCTTTTTTAGATTCTTTTCCCATATAGGCCATTATAGAGTATTGAGTAGAGTTGCTTGTGCTATACAGTAGGTCCTTATTAGTTACCTATTTTATATATAGTAGTGTGTATATGTCAACCCCAATCTCCCAATTTATTCCTCCCCTCCCCTTTACCCTCTTGTAACCATAAGTTTGCTTTCTACATATGTAACTCTATTTCTGTTTTGTAGATAAGTTCATTTGTACCTTTTATTTAGATTCCACATATAAGTGATATCATATGATATTTGTCTTTCACTCACTTAACTTCACTCAGTATGACAATCTCTAGGTCCATTCACGTTGCTGCAAATGGCATTATTTCATTCTTTATTATGGCTGAGTAATATTCTACTGTATATGTGTACCACATTTTCCCCCCATCTTTCTTAAGATGGAAAACCAAGGCTTCGTGGTTAAGCCGCCGGAGCTTTCTAACCTCATGAGACTGGCAGATGCCACACCCTGCAGTGTGGCAGTGCCACAGGCCTGCCGCCCTCACCCTGCAGCCAGCGCCTGTCTGGACCCACTTCACACCCCACCACCCCGACCCTGCCCGGAGCTCCTGATTCCCTGCCTGACTGTGGACTCAACCACGGTGTTTCTATCCCTTTCAATCTTGCCTGGACCGAAGATGTTGACCGTGACTTAAATCTCTGCATGAGGTTAGTTTCCTGGCTGCTCTGGGTCAAGCCCCGCTCAATCCCTGGTCCTGCTCGCGGCACAGGCCCTGGCAGGCTGTGTGCCCTCTTGTTCTAACCTCTGTGAACACCAGTTTGGGCACCACTTGTCCAAACTGCAGTGCGAAATATATGGCTTTCCGGCTGGGCCTTCCTCAAAGGGAGGCACACTGGTTGTTACTGGTCTTTTTACTCTGAAAATCTTAGTCACCATTGGCATTTAAAAACAAAGAAACAAAAAAACCGACACACACACACACACACACACACACACACACACACACACACACACAGAGATATGCTTGCAGCCTCTGAAGTCACCTCAGAAAGATAAAGAAAAAACATATAGGGGTGGAGTAGAAGAAAAGGGGAATGTAATAATGATGATGATCACTTACTGAGCACGTGTTATGTATATACTCATGATCTCTAAAAATTATACAGAAGAAATGTGTGGTCACTTGGCCAGTGGAGGCTGTGGAGTTAGCAGATGATGGTAAAAACTGTTAAAGAAACCTAACACAAGCAGTACAAAGTAGGGGACATTTGGAATATACACATTTCAATTCTAGGAGGAAAGTATTATTACTCCCATGTTATGAATGTGGAACTGAGGCTCAGAGAGGTGAAGTGATTTTCCCAGAGCTACACAGCTCCGTGTCTGTGCTGGGGTGCAAACCTAGGCCTCTCTGGCTCTAAATCCTGCGCTTTCCCCACAAAACCATCTACAACTGTGACAGGCAGAACAAGCAGCAGAATTGGCCTTCAGACAGAGGCAGCGCTCCTTCCCTCCACACTGGGGTAATGTCCCTGCTGTCAAGGTAGAAGACAGAAATCTAGCGACCACACTCTTACCTGCTGTGATAGCCACGGTAGTGGATAGAATGTAGCCCACACTGGCAATCAGAGAGGAGTCATACATCTGTGAGGCTTGACCTAAAAACCTTCAACACAAAAGCACTCTGGTCAGTGGGCTGTGGGGATGTCGAAAGGCCGAGGTGAAAGCCAATGACTGCAGGCTTGGTCTGAAAATACGAAGATGAGGCATGAAGGAATATTCCTTGGGATTATAAGGACGCCAGCCTTGCGTGTCTCCTGGGCTGGGGTCCACGCTTTGCTTCTATTCTTCCTCTGGACACACAGCCTGAGGCCCATCCCTCTCCCCGTCCAACACCTCTGACCACATAGTTCTTATCACGGCAATGCCCTTCTTATCACCTCTGTGTCCCCTGCATCCCCTACCCACTAAAAAGCCATTCCCGGGCCCTTAACACTCCAAGCAGCTCCTGTAGCGCTTATCACGTCCTACCTCGTGTTGTAATTATTCTTTTAAACAAATTTTCTTCTTAATTCAACTCTCACTACAATAAATATAGGAAAAAGAGAGAGTAAATTAGAGTCACTCCTAACCTCTCCACCTCAGATAAACACTCCATCATTTAGGAATATATTCTTTGTCTATTCTCTGCGTAGCATTTTGGTTATTGTTGCAAAGTTCCTTACACCATAACACATTTCCCACCCAACTGGAATTGTCTGTTTACCCGGCTGTCCTCGGACCAGGGCTGTGAGCACCTTGAATTCAATGACTATCGCTCATGTCTCTGTGTGTGGAAGGTCCAGCACGGGCCCGGTACACAGCAGGCCTCGATGAATGTGTGATGTGTGAGTGAGAAGCTTCCCGAGGAGGGCGGGGCACCTGATCATCTTTGTAAGCCCTGGAGGGCACAGCACAGAGCCTTGCATTGGACAGGGGCTCAGGGGTGATGACCAGAATCATTGTAGGAGGAATGATAGTCATAATCAGCATAATAAGAGCAACAAAAATCATAAAAGAAGCTACTATTTACTGGACGTTATCCTGGATCCTACTAGAGCCTGCTGCGATTCTGTTAGGTAGGGGCTGTTGCTATTGTCATTGCAGACGGGGAATCTGTGTCTTGAAGAAGCTGAGGAGCAGGCCTAGAGCAGAGGGGTGAGGTGCGCAGGACGGGGAGGGAGACAGACGCCGGGCTTCCAGTCTCAGCTTCGCCAGTTCCTGGCCTCTCGCAGCAGTTCCTTACAGGCAAAATGAGGATCATATCATTGTCATGGGGACCAAATGAATTCAAGTTCCTGTGAAGGCAGTGAACGCACAGCTTACACTGGGCACCCGGGTGGCAGCAGTCACCGCTATGTTCCCCGGAGGCACCGCTGGTGGATGGTGAGCCCCAGCGGCTGGAGTCCAGGGCCTGACCTGTCCAGGGTGAACCTTGGTCCAGATGGGAATTGAGGCTGCCTCTGATTGCGTGGTTCTCACATTTTGAGGCAGAGGGGAAAATACATCCACTCCAGGCTTTTCAAGCAGCACGGCACCCCTCCATGTGATAACTCAGCGTGTTAGCGACCCCTCTCTCTCCACAGTGGATGCCAAACCCTGGCGACAGAACATTTGAATGTTCTACCTGCCCTACAGCTTCAAAAACAATTGTAATCAGGCCCAAAAGCTGGAAGAGACCTTTGTGGGGAAGCCCAGCAGGAAAAGAATCTGCAACTCACGCAGCTTGATAGATAGCAGTTGCCACCATGCACACGAACATCACATAGAAGATGGGGTAGTCGAGCTGCAGGTTCCCCTGTATGGACAAGACGAGCATCCCGGCCACAGCCTTCACTGTCACCACGGTCATTGAGCCTGCAGAAGGTTAACAAGGATGTGTGGGAGCCTCAGAGACATGGGGGAGGGGACAGTTTATAAACTCAAAGGACAAAGTGACCAAAACGCAGGGAACACGGGCAGAGCCCAGCCAGTGATTTACACAGTGAGAAGATCCTATTGGCATTGGTTCTTTTGTACCCTCCCGTGAAAGCAGAGAGGAAAGCAAAACCCCAAAGGGTATTTCCAAACACCCTTCTAAACTCTACCAAGAAAGGGTAGTGAGTTCACTCTGAACTCCAGAGTGGCAGCACTGTGTCTGGAACACAATGCAAGGTCAAAACAATCGAATGTATAAATGAACTTCTTTTGAGTATCATTCTCACGGCAATCACAAGAAAAATGTGGTGTGTACAGAGCTCAGGAGTTTTTTGTGTTGTTTTTTTGGTCTTTTAAAATGCTTACTCACTGGTTATTTTTAAAAACATTTCTTTAGACCAGAGGTCCCCACATGTTTTGGAATGCATACCCCTATGCATATGTATATACTTTTCAAATATATATACATTTATTTATTTTAAAATTATAGTCATGTAACACTGTGCTTATATGATATATACATCATAAAGCATGTGTAAGAAATATACTTAAAAGGTGGAGATAAAAATAAATACCAGTTCTAATGTTTTTTCTTCCCATACACCACCTCACTATGCAGACCACTGCTTTACCCAGTGCTGTAGAAATAACTTCTAACTCTAAACTGTTGGATCCTCCTGCCAGAGCCAGAATTAAAAGGAGCTCCCAAGTATGGTACAAATGAAGTTCCTTGTTCTGGCTGAAATGCTTTGCTTTCCTATTTTTCTCAGCATCTGCTCATTTTGCCTTCTCCTGCCAGCAGCCCAGCAGACACAGTGGCTTCTGGGCTCCTCAGCTACTTAGACTACAGTTTTCAAACATCGGCAGGCAGTTAAGACAAGCACTTTCACCAGGCTGTCCTCGCTGGTGAGGAGCGGGGCAGAAAGGAATTGGCCAGCGTGCCTCAGAACCTTCTGACCTTCCAACTCACCAGGAGAGAACTTTTTGGGACCGTGATCTTCCAATCCACTTTGCAAACAAAATCATCAAGGAACGGACCACTGAGTCATGCTGCAACAGGAATTAACCTCTACAACATGATGCTCAGTGAAAGAGGCCAGGGACAAACAGCCACATGGTGTACGATTCCGTTTATGTAATACGTCCAGAAAGGCAAATCCATAGAGACAGCAAGTAGGTTAGTGATTGGCCAGGGCCTGGGAGGATGGAAAAATGGGGAGTGACTGCTAGTGGGCACAGGGTTTCTTTTGGGGGTGACAAAAATGTTCTGAAATTCGATTATGATGATGATTGCATCCTCTATGAATATATTAAAAATCACTGAATTGTACGGGCTTCCCTGGTGGCGCAGTGGTTGAGAGTCCACCTGCCAATGCGGGCACACGGGTTCGTGCCCCGATCCGGGAGGATCCCACATGCCGCGGAGCGGCTGGGCCCGTGAGCCATGGCCGCTGAGCCTGCGCATCCGGAGCCTGTGCTCCACAACGGGAGAGGCTGCAGCAGTGAGAGGCCCGCGTACCGCCAAAAAAAAAAAAAAAAAAAAAATCACTGAATTGTATACTTTAAACAGGTGGGCTTTACGGTATGTAAACTATATCTCAGTAAAGCTGTTAAAAACAAAAAAATGGAGCCCTGTCCTATGATGACATATCTGTGTGTTTTATGGCCTGTCGCTGGAATGGGGGCTTGCTGTCGGAAGGACAGAAGGAAACAACACACACTGGGGACCGGTGCTCATCTCATTTAATTGCCTCTCCCCCCAAGATCTGGGTGTTCTCTTAGGCCCATTTTTAGAGGACAGCGTGGCTGACACAGGGACAATCACTAGGAGGTAGCGGCAGGGCCGCATCCACCTCTCCCTCTCCAGGAAGAAGGGGTGCTTCTCACAGCTCTACTTAGTAAATCTAACTCTATGTGGGGTTACAGCCTTGCCCCAATCTGATTTAGGAGCCATTCTCCCCATTGCACCCATGCCTTTAAAAGGAAAAAAAAAGAGAGAGCAAAATCAAAATCAATTCTTGCCTTTGAATCCAGAATTGTCTTAACCTCTGATAGGTCTTACACGGACCCTTAGGGGCTCACTTGTTGGAACCTGTTCCACCCCTGACTTCTCTGAAATAACCTCTTAACCCTCCACCCCTACCCTTACTCTGCTTTCTTCTTCGTCATTGTAATTGTCACTGCCCAAACTTATACTATCTATGTATTTGTCAATCATTTACTGTCATTTCCTCCCTCTCGAATGGGTAGCACCCTGAGGGGACGGGTGTCCGTCTGGCTCACTGCTCTAGCCAGTCTGCAGCACCGCTCCTGGCACTTAGGAGACGCGGTATTTCAGCAAGAACCCCGAATGCCGTCAGCAGCACGAAGGAACTGACAAGGCCTGCGTCCGGTTAGCAGGGACCCAGCTCCTGCAGCCACCGATGCAGAGGGACCAGCCTGAGCCGGCCTCCAGCAGCTCCTGGGTCCAGATGCCACAGCTCAGTAAACAAAACCCACATTTCCTTTTGGTGCTACTTAGTGGTGGCAAAACTCAATCCCCAGGACCCTCACTTACCAAGTAACGCCACCAAGAGGAGAATCACAACAATGTTGTTGGCGTTCCTCTCCTTGTAGAAGTACAGCAGCAAGCAGAAGAGGATGATCTCCACGAGCTACAGAGAGCAGCAAGTGGGGGAGGTCAGCGGGCACCATAGGCAAGACCAGGAGACCCTGGAGGGCTGAGCTGGAGTTTATGCTGCTGATTGCATCAGTCACAGGCCCTCAGAGTTGAAAGAGAAATGAAACATCCAGTATTTCCCAAACCGCTGATATATATCCTGCAGGAAAGCAGGGAACACTGAATCTCTCTACTCCCAATACTGAGGAGCAGTTCACCTCGTGGTGAGGCTCTGAGGGTGCTGTGCTGGCCTCAGGTCCACCCTGTCTTGGATGGTCAAGATTCATCAGGCTGAGCTGGTGTCCCATTTCACTGCTCCATGGTAACCCCCACTAAAACTGGGAGTTGGTCAAAGAGGGAGCTGCTTGTTCGGTGAGGAGAACAGCTCTTTGCTTAAGTATATAAGTATATATACCACTTGCCTGCTAACCAAGCCTCCACTGCGTGCAGCTTGGTAGAGTCGAAAAAAAGAGGACTTCTGGAGTCAGGGAGGCCCAGTTATGAGCTTGGATCTCCTTCTAAACTAGTTGTGTGACCTTAGCCAGGTCACTTAAGTTCCCTAAACCTCAGTTACCTCCTTTGTGAAACAGGCATAAGAGGAGTTCTTAACTTAGAGGGCCACAGTCACAGCTTATACTTAATGAACTCATAAATCTGCCAGGCTCTATTCTAAGCCTTTTATCTTTACTCAACTCACTAAATCAGCACAATAATTCTATGAAGAATCTCAAGCTAGCAAATGGCAGAGCTGGGATTTGAACCCGGATAGTCTGGCTCCAGGGCCCATGCGTTTTCCCACTAGGCTACACTGCCTGCAGATGGGGGGCCCAGTGCCTGGTGTTCAGAAGGTGCTCCATCAGTAGAATCTTACTAGACAAGAGCAAGTTTGAAAACTCTGAAGTTTGAGAGGTTCCCCGCCTTTGCAGCAACAGCTTGTCCTTTCTGTTCCTTAAAGGTCCAGACGTTTGGCAATACTTTCCCAAGGAGTGAAGCCAGCCCCAGCCCCCAGCCCCCAGCAAAACTAAAGCAACGGCTCAGCTCTGTTTGCCTATCCCAACCTCCTACCGAAGTTCATTTATCACAAAAACCAATGCAGAAACATTAATGGGCATTTTAAAAAGAAAAGAATTGTTAAATTCCTCAGAATTAGAGACCATAAAACACAGCTGCAGTTCATTTTCCTGTTTCTTCCTGTCTTTGTCACAGTGAATACATATTTTATCTACTTGTCATCACAGTCAAAGCACAGTTTTGTGCTGGGCCGTTGTTAGTTACCGTAAGCAATTTTCATGTTTTATGAAGTTGTCATCATTATCTTTAATTGTTGCAAAATACGCCATCAAGCAGATGTACAGTTACTCATTAACATTCCCAAATGATGTGCGTACATTTGGGCAGGGGGTGGGAGTGGCCAATCTCCCCACCATTCTTCATGATGCTTAAACGCACGCTGGGAGAGCACTTGGCATTCTATCGTGAGATGGCTGTATATGTGTTGGTGCTTCCTGATGGACCATGAGTTCTGTCAGCCTGTCTTGTTTAGCTTTTATACCCACAGTGTCTGGCACATAGCAGACACTCAATAAATATTTATTGAATTTGATTTGGCCAAATCTTTCCAGCTGGCAGCACTGCCTCACAGTGACGATGGAGGAAGCCAAACTGAATTGGTCACTGAGCATCTGTCACGTGCTGGGTGGACCTGACAGCCACCCTGGGTCCAGTGACCCCGCCAGTTAACGTACAGAGAAGGAGGCAGAGCATGCGGCTAAGTGCCTTGGTTATGGCTGCACAGTATGTAATGGACTCGAGCCCAGGACTCTCTGAAAGAGAAGCCTGTGCTCTGGGGTTAAGCTTTTCCTGAAGAGGTGGGTCTCTGGCTCTGCCCGGCAGACACTTCTCCATGCCTACAGGTCAATGCTGGGGCTGGCTGGCGCTAGGGAGATGACACAGCCCCAACCTTGGAGGAATCTATCATCTGCCTCATGGGCAATCTGAGGAAAACGGACCTTCGGGACCTCTACAGCAGGCCCAGGCTGCTTGAGTCAAGGCAAAACAGTGAACACCTTCGTTAGCAGGCTGTGGTGACACGTGAGGCCAGGCAGGCAGGCAGGCTTCAGGTCCAGCTCGGCTCTCACGGGACTCTGAGCAAGTTTGCTAACCCTGAGATCCAGTTTTCTCATCCATAAAATGGTGAGAAAAACACCTATGTTATAGGACTATTGAGGGAGTCTGAAATGTGATGAAACAAATTTTCACACACTGAGGTCTAGGGAAGTCATTCTGGTTTACACATGATTTAACTCAGATTTTATGCTAACAGGGACTTCCCCGGTGGTGCAGTGGATAAGCCTCCGAGCTCCCAATGCAGGGGACCCGGGTTCGACCCCTGGTCAGGGAACTAGATCCCACATGCATGCCTCAACTTAGAGTTTGCATGCCACAACTAATGAGCCTGCCTGCCGCAACTAAGACCTGGTGCAACCAAGTAAATAAATAAATAAATAAATATGAAAAAAAAAAAGATTAAAATGGAGAAATTTAAAAAAATTTTTATGTTAACTAAAACGGCCTATTCGTGGCCTTTCAAACATACATTGCACACCTGCTTTAATTATTAAAGAAGAGGGTACACTGACCAGAAGTAAAGAATGTTCACAATAAAAATAAATATTAAATGCCTCCCTTCATGGGATGTCAATGCTGGTACCCCTGCGATGATAAGATTCCCTTCCCAGGTACCAAGGACAAACCGACTTGCTGTGTACATGTTGATCTGTTTTTTGTTGTTGTTGTTTTATACCTTTAAGGAATGTATCCCTGACTTGTTTAATGTTCTTTGACCTGAGAAGATATAAAACTGTGCTGAAAACCATGCTTCTCCAGAGCAGTTCCTCGGAGTTATCTGAGAGGCTGTCTCCCAGGCTATAGTCCTCAGTTTAGCTCAAATAAACTCCTCGTTTACTGGTTATTTTTGTTGATAGATAATACATTAAAAAGTGTTTAATGGGGCTTCCCTGGTGGCGCAGTGGTTGAGAAGTCCGCCTGCCGAAGCAGGGGACACGGGTTCGTGCCCCGGTCCGGGAAGATCCTACATGCCGCAGAGCGGCTGGGCCCGTGAGCCATGGCCGCTGAGCCTGCGCGTCCGGAGCCTGTGCTCCGCAACGGGAGAGGCCACAGCAGTGAGAGGCCTGCGAACCGCAAAACAAAAAAAAAGTGTTTAACATGGTGCAGGGGGAGCAGGAATACGCTTTACCAAATACCTTAGATGTTTTCCTTGATTAGTCTATTTGTAATCAATTTAGATTACAATTAGTCAACTGTAATCTATTTGTAACCTTGAATAGTTCTGGTTGGGGGTTTAGGAGATAAAGTCTGCAGTGTCTCCCGTGTTTCTATTAGCTTCTATTAGCTGTGTGATAGTGGGCAAAAAAAAAATAATAACATTCTTTAACTGTTGAAAATTTTAACTTTTTTTCTTACCATAACAGTTTTAAATGCTCACTGTAGAAATTTTGGATAATATATAAAGACGAAGGTGAAATAAAAACACAATTATAATTCCATCTCCCAGAGACAACCACTGATGGAGTTTCTGTTTTTCTATCCAATCTTTTACAGGTAACGTACAGACCTACAAATACCTCTAAAAAAATCAAGTCATCATACTATACATGCAGTTTTAGACATTGCTCAGGACACAAGTGAAAAAAAGCACTTCCCCAGGAACTACGTACTCTCTGTGAGCGTGGTGTTCAGCTCTGTGAAATACATCATGATTCCCGTGAACCCCGTCTTGCTGGGAATTTGTGTTTCTGGTTTCTAGGACTCCATCCCCACCCCCATCATCTCAGGTGAAAGGACCGGAGGCTTCTCTTACCATGTACAGGAGAAAAGGCCAGCTCACAAGATGTCTGATGACGTTCTCGCCTGTCATCTTCTCGTGACTGTTGGGTGCGAATGTCACCAGCAAGTAGGTACCCACGATGGCCAGACCGCAGCCAATGAAGGATAAGATGTAGCGCCCTGCAGGGAGAAGGAGGCCATCACAGGGCTTACTGCAAGTGCCCGCCCCAGGCCAGCATGTGTCTTTGGGGTAACATATTGGGACCTGCTATTGCTTGGATTTTGGGTTTTTCTTTACTTGAAAAAAAATAGAGTATCTTCATGAATGTCATTTTTTTTCCCTACTTTTTTGGCCACGCCTCAAGGCATGCAGGAACTCGGTTCTCCCACCAGCAATCAAACCCGTGCCCCTGCAGAGGAAGTGTGGTGTCTTAACCACTGGGCCGCCAGGGAAGTCCCCTGAATGTCATTTTTTAAGATACATTTAGTGTTAAAAATTTTTTTTAATAAGATAGCATGCATACAAAAAAGTGCTCGATGAATTCTTTTTTTTTTTTTTTTTTTTTTCCCGGACGCGCAGGCTCAGCGGCCATGGCTCACGGGCCCAGCCGCTCCGCGGCATGTGGGATCTTCCCGGACCGGGGCATGAACCCGTATCCCCTGCATCGGCAGGCGGACTCTCAACCACTGCGCCACCAGGGAAGCCCTCGATGAATTCTTAAAGTGAACTCACCCATGTAACCAGCACCCAAGTCGAGAAAGGGAACATTCGTAGGACCCCCAAATCCCCACTCGTGTCCCCTTCCACTCCCTAGCCCCCACCCCCAGGGCAACACTTTGACTCCTACCAGCACTGACCATTTGCCTGGGTTTGTACTTTATATCAATGGATTCGTACAGTACGTTTTCTTGTGTCTGGGTTCGTTCAAGACTATGTTTGTGAGATTCATCTGTATCCTGGCATGTGGTGGTAGTTTCTTCATTCTCACTGCTGTATGGTGGTCCATGTGTAAACAGGATACAATTTATCATTTCTACTGTTGATAGGCATTTAAGTAGTCTCCAGTCTTGGGTTATAACAAATCACGCTGCTACAAACATTCTTGTAGGGTTAGCGTTAGGGTTAGGGTTAGAGTTAGGGTTAGGGTTAGGGTTAGGGTTAAAGGGTTAGTGTTAGGGTTAGAGTCAGGGTTAGGGTTAGGGTTAGGGTTAGAGTTAGGGTTAGAGTTAGGGTTAGAGGGTTAGGGTTAGGGTTAGGGTTAGGGTTAGGGTTAGGGTTAGAGGGTTAGTGTTAGGGTTAGGGTTAGGGTTAGGGAAAACATGCATGTAGTTCTATTGGGTACAAAACTAGGAGAGGAATTCCTGGGTCACGGGAGATGTAGATGTCCAGTTTAGTAGGTACTGTCGAATGGTTTTTCAAAGTGGCTGTACCAATTTACACTCCCACCAGTAGCGTATGAGCAAAACTGCATATTTTTTCTTCATTTTAGCCGTTCTGGTATTACACTCTGGTTTTAATATGCATTTTACAAGGAACATTCTAAAGCTAGATGGGCTAGATAAAAACAAAAAAACCTCAAAAGCAAACCTTCAGAGCCTACGGTATGCCTCTGAAAAACTGTCTCAGCCTCTCCCAACTGGCTATTTAACCTACTCCCAAGGGAACTATCTAAATACTATCAAGGCTCTACTCCACAGACCTGTCAGGTATTGTTGGTGGCCTAGGAGGCATGCTCCTGGGTGAAGGACCAGAGTCTCCTGACTCTTCCCCAGGGTCCTGTCACACTGCAGTTGAACCCTCTGGGGTTGGTGAAAAGCCTCTGGTTGAAGTGGAGTGAGCCCAGCCCCATGCAAGCTGAAAAGGGCTGTGAGCTCTGAGCTGCACACATTGTGACCACAGGCTTCTGGATTTTTATGTGATAGAATTAACTCTACCTGTTTCATTTCACTATCTCGAGGAAATGTGATACCATATTAAATGTCCTTTATTTTCATTCTAGGCCTCAAAAGGTGCTCAAAAACCAGCTGTTCAATTGCTCAGTGAATGAATGAACCATGGTTAAACTCAACATGGTAAGTTCTGTGCAAGTCTATTGTCTTAAGTTTTCCGTAGGCAGGGACAGGTCTTACTCATCAATATGCCTGCGTTGTCCAGCAAAGGTCTAGCACTGGGTGAATGTTTGCTGAACTTAATAGAACTCTAAGCAGGGCAGCCAGCTACAGTTGTGCAGGTTGCTCACTGCACAAGGGCAGTGAAGAGGGCTAAAATCTAGCCCATGCTCTGCTCACCAAGGCATTTGCCCATAGAACTATAGATGCCCAGAGGGGCATCTTTTTCTAATTCACATTGGGCATGCCTCTCATTCCAGGACCACCTAGCATGACCCTGGAAGGGACATAAACCTCTACACTGATCTCAGAACCAGCCCAGCCCCACCCCTCCCCCAGCAGAATTACTACAAATCATTCTGAGTCTTTTGGTCTTTGTGGCATCATTTGTTTGCTGAGCAGTAGTTCTGCTTTTTTCAGTGTTAAGATTCTTTTCTTTTTCCACCTCCTGGCCCAATCTTGCTGTTACTCTACACCAATGATTCAGAACAGTCGTTCCCAAATGTGGCCGTGTGTCTGCAGCATCTTGGGAGCTTCTTCTCCCTGACATTTTGCGTTTAAAAACTTTTAGACGCAAGGACTTCCCTGGTGGCGCAGTGGTTAAGAATCCGCCTGCCAATGCAGGGGACATGGGTTTGAGCCCTGGTCCGGGAAAATCCCACACGCTGTGGAGCAACTAAGCCCGTGCACCACAACTACTAAGCCTGAGCTCTACAGCCTGCGAGCTACAATTACTGAGCCCACGTGCTGCAACTACTGAAGGCTGCGTACCTAGAGCCCGTGCCCCACAATAAAAGAAGCCACTGCAATAAGAAGCCCGCTCGCCGCAACTGGAGAAAGCCCACGCACAGCAACGAAGACCCAACACAGCCAAAAACAAATGAATAAAAATAAATTTATATTAAAAAAATCTTTAATAGTAGGCACCCATAGTCCCACCACCTAGATTCTAAATTGACATTTTATTATACTTGCTTAATCCCATATCGCGATCCATTTTCTTCATCCCTCCACTCATTCATCAAGCCAGGTTATTTTTGGATACATTTCAAAGCAAGTTGCAGACTAATATACTTCACCCTGGGGAGCTTTATGAGAACGCAAATGCCCAGGCCCCAGCCCAGATTTAAAGTCTCTGGGGATAGAGCCTGGACCCACCATCATGTCACTCCTTAACTCCTTAGTGTGGCTTGTAAGCCCCTGCATCATCCAGTTCCTCCATGCCTCCTTGCTCTCATGTCCTGCTTCCTCCTTTACTCATCACCCTCCAGCTACACTGGCCTTACTGATACCAGACACACCAAGCTTATTCCTGCCTCAGGGCCTTTGCACCTGCTGCTCCTTCTACATGGAACAGTGCCCACAGACCTTGGCATTGGTAGTCTCCTTAGTATCAGTTAGGTCTGGGCCCCACCTCTTCAGAGTCTAACCCTGACCAGTCTAGGAAAAGCATCCCCACATTCCTAGTGCCCCAACAAAAAGCATTCTATTTTCTCTGAAGCACTCGCTAAGATCTAGAATTATTTTATTTGGTTAGTTATATAGTTAACTTGTTTACTGTATGTTCTCCCCTCCAACACACATATACATTAGACGGTAACCTCCATGAGAGTAGGATCCGCACCTGTCCTACTGCTATATCTCCAGCACCTACAACAGAGGGTGGCACTCAGTAGGTAACTTCTTTCCCACTCCTTGGGTTTCTATGTGGAGGAAGCTCCAATGGACGGACACTTCTGCCTCTTGCCCCACTGGTCTGCATTTCTTGACCGAAATGGAGTTAATCTCTCAAAAGAACTTAAACACTCAGGCTTTGATCTTTTTTTCCTCCCTTCTCTGTCCCAGGATATGTATGGCAGTAATTCTGGATAAGTGTTCCATTCTGTAAACCCAAATATTTCCTTGGGAGACTGGCCCAAGGTCTAGCTGTGGGCTGGAGCGCATTGGGGGGAGAGTGTAAGCAAGTTCATGTGGCTGCATGTTCTAATCTAGCTTTTATTAGTAATAAAGCATAACTTCTGATCTCCTTTGTTTGACTTCCTTGTTTAGTTCTCACTGTTTTAAAACTCAGTTAGGGA